CAGGTCTTGGAAATGAGGTTCGTCAGGCAATCAACTCGTTCATGCTCCTATGCCAGGTCCTAGACCTCTTACAACAGACCCTCCTCGGGAATGTCGACCCTGCCGAGCTCGGAACGGCGATCAAATCCCATTTGGACTGCTTCAAGGCAGTGTACCCAGACAAGGCCCTGCTGCCTAAGGCACACATGGCTTTACACCTCAGCAAACAGCTTCAAACAAAGCGATGTTTAATCAGTTGTTTTGTGCACGAGAGGAGACACAAAGAGTTGAAAAGGTATGCAAACCAACAGGCCAATGCTCAGGCAGGAAGCGAAAAACACCTGCTTCAGGAGGTGTTCCTCACACACCTCCAAGCGCTTGAGGAGGAAGACCTCGTTCCCCGTCCCGGCTTGCACACACCCAAACCCGCCAACTCGGAGTTCAAGGCGCTCTTCGGTTCTCACTTCGGTATTCCCGAAGCACTCCTCGCTGGATTGGAAACTTCTTCCTCTGCAAGTGTTCCCAGATGGAGGCTATTGAAGTCTGGGGATGTCGTGGTTGTGCGGGAGCCATCAGGGGTTGGTGAAATCATGTGCCATTGCCAATGGGCAGAGCACATGCTCACTTGCATCGCATTCTTCGAGGGCAAGGGGGATAATGTATTCACCGTGCAAAAGCAGAACCTTACTTTCGTAACCACTCTCGAAATCCTAGGGCCGTGTATCGTTAAGAGTGACGGTGTACTGGCCACCGTGATCCCGCAAGCTTGGGCAGTGTAAAACGAGCATGATGTTCCTGTGCAGGGTTTCCGAATACTGTTTGCAGCACTGCATGGGTTTATAAAGATCAAGTTTCTTAGGGTTTAGGGTTTGAGGTTTAGGGTTTACGGTTTATAGGGTTCAGGGGTTGAAGGGTTTTGGTGTTTGAGGTTTAGGATTTACGGTTTAGGGTTTAGGGTTGGAGGTTTATGGTTTACGGTTTAGGGTTTCGGGTTTGAGGTTTAAGGTTGGAGGTTTAGGATTTAGGTTTTGAGGTTTAGGGTTCAAGGTTTCGGGTTCGAGGTTTAGGGTTTACGATTTAGGGTTGGAGGTTTATAGGGTTTACGGTTTAGGGTTTCGGGTTTGAGGTTGAGGGTGTACGGTTTAGGGTTTAGGTTTTGAGGTTTAGGGTTTAAGGTTTCGGGTTTGAGGTTTAGGGTTCACGGTTTAGGGTTTAGGGTTTGGGGTTTGGGGTTTACGGTTTAGGATGGTAGCTTTCTTCCACCCGTGCTAGCGCCGCATTTACCAAATATCTCGAACCCGATGCCACAAGAAGCCTACATAGGCATGCAAATCAAAGTCATGCCAAGAAATCCTTAAGTGGAGACTGTCGAAGTAAAACTCGTATGCCTATATATACATATATTTAAATGAAAGCCAAATAAAACATGACACAGTAGACAAATGAAACCAACCAGGCTCCAAAACCCAAAGATCCCCATTCAGCCAGGCTGCCACTCACCTTTGTGGATTTTTGTTCCTGTTCCAATGTTGTAGCTAATCCCAGGTCCTATGTAAACAACAGCCCTGGGTTTCGCTTTACTTGTGAAATAACTTTTGGGATAGTTTATACTCGGTACTTTTGCAGTTCCTCTCTGAGGTTTCCTAGAAAGTTGAACTTGGAGTTCGGTGTTTGCTCTCTGTGCCGTTCGGTCTTCATGTCTGGAGCCGGAGTTGTATGGCACCTTTTGATCAAACCCACCTCGTGCCAAACCACATATCGAAGCCGGCCTGCTGGAGGCAGCCAGCTGCAGCAGGCCCGGCTCGGCAGCGATGCAGGCCAATAAGACGTGTCTTTAAATCAAAAACTTTGGACAGGGTCGCGATATTTTTGGCCAAATATTATTGTTGGCTTACGACGTCTTCAGCTGCGGGGTTTGCTTTGAAGCAATTGCGGGATATCGGATATACGGTCTTCGTGGCATCGGCAACTCACTTAGTGTGTTTAGATAAGTGCTTACTCGTGCACTAGTCCACTTATCGTAAGTGACTTAGTCCTTTTAACCTAAGTCCCTTATTCCTACTTAGCTAAGTGGCTTATGTGTGTGCAAACTAACTGGTTTAAAGCAGTTATGCTATGTCATATAACTGCTTATTCTAACCGCTCCAACCCCATACTAAGTGGCTCAAATACTTACTAACCCCCGCGACCCTCCAAGCGCGCCCTCAGCGCCCTCCGCGGCCTCAGCCTTCCGCGCCCTCCGCGCCCTCCGCGCCGCGCCCTCCGCGCCCTCAGCGCCCTCAGCGCCCTCCGCGCCTTCAGCGCCCTCAGCGCCCTCCGCGCCCTCAGCGCCCGCAGCGCCCCAGCGCCCTATAAGCGCCCTCAGCATCCCTCAGCGCCCTCCGCGCCCTCAGCGCGCTCAGCGCCCTCCGCGCCCTCAGCGCTCTGAGCGCCCTGAGCGCCCTCAGCGCCCTCCGCACCGCCTCCGCGCCCTCCGCGCCCTCATAAGCGCCCTCATAAGCGCCCTCAGCGCCCTCCGCGCCCTGCAGCGCCCTCAGCGCCCTCCGCGCCCTTATAGCGCCCTCAGCGCCCTCCGCACCCTCCGCGCCCTCAGCGCCCTCCGATGGCCACCCCCTCGCGAGGGGGGGTGTGGGGGAGCGAGAGCGGGGGTCGGAAATAGGTACCGGTACCTATTACGACGGTGGCTTGAGGTAGGGGGGGGGGTCCGGGTGTACTCGGAGGACTCTTGCCACATGGATAAGACTAGTCACGACCGGTTGGATTTGCGACGACAGCTCGACGACTCCCACCGTCCCAGTAGGCCCCGGTACCTATTTTTATCGGGACCCCCCCACTCTCCCAAAATAAACCCCGGAAATAGGTACCACTCAGAGTAACCCCCCCCGCAACAGTACCTTTACGAGGGGGTGGCCACGCGCTCAGCGCGCGCTCAGCGCCCTCCACGCCCTCAGCGCCCTCACCGCCCTCCGCCCTCGGCGCCCTCAGCATCCCTCCGCGCCCTCACCGCCCGCAGCGCCCTCAGCGCCCTCCGCGCCTTCAGCGCCCTCAGCGCCCTCAGCGCCCCGCGCGCGCTCAGCGCCCGCTCGCTCCGCGTCCTCAGCACCCTCTCCGCGCCCTCAGCGCCCTCAGCGCCCTCCGCGCCCTCCGCACCCTCCGCGCCCTCTGCAGCGCGCTCGCTCCACGCCTCAGCGCCCTCAGCGCCCTCCGCGCCCTCAGCTCCCTCATGCGCCCTCCGCGCCCTCCGCGGGGCCCTCAGCGCCTCTCCGCGCCCTCAGCGCCCTCCGCGCCCTCAGCGCAGTCAGCGCCCTCCGCGCCCTCAGCGAGCTCGCTCCGCGCCTCAGCGCCCTCAGCGCGCTCGCAGCGCCCTCCGCGCCCTCAGCGCCCTCAGCGCCCTCAGCCCCCTCCGCGCTCTCCGCGCCCTCCGCGCCTTCAGCGCCCTCAGTGTGTGCTCCGCGCTCTGCGCGCGCCCTCAGCGCGCTCGCTCCGCGCCCTCGCGCCCTCAGCGCCCTCCGCGCGCTCTCCACGCCCTCCGACCTCAGCGCGCTCGCTCCGCGCCTGCGCGCCCTCACAGCGCCCTCCGCGCCCTCAGTGCTCTCAGCGCAGTCAGCGCCCTCCGCACCCTCATGCGCTCGCTCCGCGCCTCAGCGCCCTCAGCGCCCTCCGCGCCCTCAGCGCCCTCAGCGCCCTCAGCGCGCTCCGCCCTCAGCGCGCTCCGCGCCCTCACCCTCACAGCGCCCTCAGCGCGCCTCAGCGCCCTCCCGCTCCCTCGCGCCCTCCGCGCCCTCCGCGCCCTCCGCGCCCCTCTTCCGCGCGCCCTCAGCCCTCCGCGCGCGCCGCTCGCTCCGCGCGCGCTCGCTCCGCGCCTCAGCGCCCTCAGCGCCCTCAGCCCCCTCCGCGCGCTCTCCCGCCTCGCCCTCAAGCCGCATCGCTCCCGCGCGCGCCCCCTCACGCCCTCACGCAGCATCCGCGCGCCCTCAGTGCCTCCACCTCAGCCCTCAGCGCCACAGCAGCGCCCTCAGCGCCCTCAGCCGCCCTCAGCGCCCTCCGCGCTCTCCACGCCCTCCCGCCATCAGCGCGCTTCGCTCCGCTCCTCAGCGCCCTCAGCGCCCTCAGCGCTCTCAGCGCCCTCCGCGCGCTCAGCGCGCTCCGCTCCCTCAGCGCCCTCAGCGCCCTCAGCGCTCTCCGCGCCCTCCGCGCCCTCAGCGCCCTCCGCGCCCTCCGCGCCCTCAGCGAGCTCGCTCCGCGCCTCAGCGCCCTCGCTCCGCGCCTCAGCGCCCTCCGCGCCCTCAGCGCCCTCAGCCCCCTCCGCGCGCTCTCCGCGCCCTCCGCGCCTTCAGCGCCCTCATTGTGTGCTCCACGCTCTCCGCGCCCTCCACGCCCTCAGCGCGCTCGCTCCGCGCCCTCAGCGCCCTCAGCGCCCTCCGCGCGCTCTCCACGCCCTCCGACCTCAGCGCGCTCGCTCCGCGCCTGCGCCCTCTCAGCGCCCTCCGCGCCCTCATGTGCTCTCAGCGCAGTCAGCGCCCTCCGGCAAGTTGCAACTTCGGCACAGCATGCGCTCGGCCGGCGAAAATTTCAGCGTCTATTTGACGTGTCTTTCGTGCAAATGTCTTACACTGTTGCAAGCAAGGGCATGTCAAATAGCCTGCAAGTGTCCATCACACCCCCCCCCCCCCAATGGTATCCCCCCCCCCCCGACCCGGGCGACCACACAACAAGAACAAGAACAAGAACAAGAAGAAGAACAGCAGCAACAACAAAGCAGCAGCAACCACGCGGAGGAACCACAGGAACCACAGGGGGGGAGGGGGGAGACAGGAACCAGAAGAACCACAAAAGGGAGGGGGAAAACCAAGAGGAACCACAGGGGGGGGGGGAACCACAGGAACCACAGGGGGGGGGAGGGGGATTACCATGGGGGGGGGAGGGGGGGGGGGGGGGCGCGGATGCTGGCACATATAGAGCCCATTATAGGGTAGAGGTCCCCATTACTTTTCCCCTTTGATGAACAAGAGCCCAGACTCGTGGAGGACTTTGGTGCTCTGAAAGCACCGGACTCATAGAGCAGCAGAGCCTCGAAATCTTCGAGAATGGGATTTAGGGTGTAGGTTTTCAGGTATCCGATCCCTTCATTGGTTTCCTATCCCCTTAGTCAGATCGCGGGCTCTACTTCCAGGATGCTCCAGTACACATGGGTTTGATGTCGAAATCACTGCGCTCAGTCCCTAAGCCCTAGACCCTACCCGCAAAACGCGAATGTGGGAACCTGATCAAGAAACCTTGGGCCTTAATTAGGGCTTCTTATCCTTTTATGAATCCTACCATTTTGGGGGCTATGGGCCCAGGGTTTCTCAATCAGGTTCCTACATTAGACCCGACAGTCGGAACCCTAAACCCCAGACCCAATTTCCAAAACCACAACAGTACGGGTGATGATATAAATCCTGCATTACCTTAAGGACCCTAAACTATGGGAATTATGGTATGTTCCTTATTATGGGTCATGCAGGATTTATATCATCAACCGTAGCACCCCTAAACCCTAAACCCAAAGACCGACCCCTCCCTCCCCTGGGCCCTAAACCCGAACACCTAACTGCGTCGGACCAGGAGCACTGTCGAAGCCGGGCGCATAGACCACGACGTCTCCCATCACTACCTGGGCCTTCGTAACAACCCCACGGCAGACTTGACACCCTAAGCCCTAAACACCACAACAAGAGAACCCTAAGCCTACACCATAAACCCCAAAGCCCTGAAACCCTAAAACCAAAAAAACAAACCGAACGGTCCTTCGTGACAACCCCATAGAAGGCGTGGATCTCTCTTGGGAGGTAGATGCTTAGAGGGAAGACCCACGACGTCTCCGTGGTTTGAGTCTCGAGGACCACCAGGGAGAGGCCGGCAAAGCCTGAGAGGACGATGTGGTCCTCTGTGGCGTTCACCTCAAAGTGGCAGGCATCCAGCTCCCCGTGGCTGATCATGACGGAGAAGTTGCTCAAGTTGCCTTTCAGGGTTTCGGCTTCAGGAAACCGTTGCAGTGAAGTGAATTTAGGTTCCAAGCTTCTGGGATGCTGAGGTTTTTGTTGCTCAGGCTGCCTTCACTGATCTCCGTCCAGTTCACTTGGCACAGAGCTGGCATCAGCAGGCTTGATTCATTCGGAGCCAGCGCCGGCATGTACCCCAGCGTCACATTGTCGTGCACGACAGGGAGTTCCGCCTCCACGCTCAGGCGGATGCCGGCGTCATCACCCTGGGTCCAGATCCGGGGTGCGGCCAGCCGCGTCACGGTGTAGTCCAGCGTGGGAAGGCACCTCGAATCGATCCCGCCATCGGATGCATGGCCGAAGGGACGTCGGGGCCCTCGTTTACCTGGCAAACAACAGCTTCCGGCTGTCGGATTAGAATCCGGTCGGCATGCGAGGTTCCGTACTCCGTGATGTTAGTGTTAGTGCTGTTGTCCGTCATGATCCGCGTGTGCCACTTTCTGCCATTGAAAGATGAGATTGGCCGTGCACTCGCACTCTTCAGGCACACTTCCGACGATTCGATGACAGCCCCAACCATAGCTAAGCGCCACCGTCTTGCAATCTGCATCTCCACGACACAACTCCCATCCATCTAACGCTGGCAGCCACTCCTCTTGCTTGTTTGCACCACCTCCGTTGGGATTGGCTCCATCCAGAGTACGGCACACGTGGCCATTGTAAGAGATACACTCGTTGTTGTCACAGCCGCTCCATCCCTCACGCGGCACGGTGGCGAGAAGAACAACAACGAAGCGCAGACCCATTTCCCTCGCAAGATGGACGCCCGGATTCCTACTTGCAGGTCAAATCCCACACAAGCCGAAAAACGCTACAAAAGAAGCTCTTGCGTCGGAGTCGAAAGCTTTGGGAATTTTTCAAATTCCCACTTTGGGACTTTCTTGATTTGCCGGCTTAGCATCACATCATGCAGAACCATGCATGGCCTTTGCGTTGATGCTTCTGTTGTCTTCTTGCCCTTGTCCTGTTGCTCATTCGTAGCCTGGACCCCTAAACCCTAAACCCCTAAACCCTAAAGCATCGGTGGCTTCGACATCACTTTCGACGGCTGCAAACACGACAAAACCGCGCCCAGACAGCCATTACGGTTTAGGGTTTAGGGTTGAGAGTCCAGGGTTTGGGGATTTTACAGGATGTCCTTACATCGCTCAGCGTGCAACATTTTGCCACTCATGCAGTGCTGGCACAGGTGCTCATATGCAACAACGGGTTCCAAGCGGCTAAAGACAAGGATCATCGCAACCAGCGCGGCGTACACAGCCGTTCGGCTGCCCTAATTTGCTCAATGAATGGGGCTTCCCATCACAGGGGTTGGTGGCGGGCCCAATCATCATAAGGCTTGGCCAGCATCGCCCTTTTGCAGATGCTACCCGACCTTGATAATTCATGATGTCTGCTACACTGTGCCACAGTTGCTGTGATTGGATCAAAGTCTTTTTGTCGGAGCTCATCTGGGGCCAGAAACCGCCGAAAGTCAAAGGGGTTCGGGGTTTGGGCTTCAGGGTTTGGGGTCTGGGGTTTAGGGTTTAGGGTTTGGGGTTTAGGGTTTAGCTAACCACCAGCCTTCCTTCTCCGCGGGTGAGCATGCAACATACTATGGATGCTCGAGATCTTGTGCCATCAGAGCATCCACCTTTCTTACTGCGTCTACGGGGCCATCTTCGAAATTAAGAAGAAACAGATCCTCCTAACTCCGAAGAATCAACGAAGGGACTCAATCGCCTTCCTGAAACGTGCTTTATCCCCGATCTTCAGCTCGGAGGTGATCTTGCTGATATCCTGCGACTGCAGAGCTGCAGAACGACTTCGAGAGTCAACTTGCAAGGAACCCCTAAAACCCTAAAATCCTAGACCCTCAACCCTGACTCTAAACCGTCACTCGCGACCTCGTAAGCCCTGCACCCTCAACCGCCTGCCCCAAAGCATACACAATGAGAAGCCCAAGCCCGAAAGAGAACCTCCGTTCCATGCCCCAAAAACGGTTGCTGGTTCAGGGTTTAGGAAGCCGTAAACCTCAAACCCTTAAGAAATGTAGGCGGAAGCGGCTGCACCGAGCAGATAACATCTCCCTCCAAACCTCCCTTGCCCTTCAGGTTGGGGGATGTTGAGGGTTTGGGCTCGCACTGCGGGTTAGGGGGTTCGGGCCCCCGAGACTCCAAAACCCATTGGGGCATACTCATGAAAAACAAACGTCAGGATTTATGAAACTTACAACCCTGACAACGTTACCCTAAACCCTCAACCCCCGATTTTGGGGGTTTAGGGCTTAGGGGTTCAATTTGGACTTTCGGACCAGTGTTAGATTCAGGGGGGTCGATCTTTGCGGTAAGCGACTCCGAGTGCTAGGTTTTAGGGCAGAGGGTTCAGGCGGTTTAGGGTTTAGTGTTTGCGGGAGCTAAGCTTTAGGGCTTTTCGATGTACGGCTTTCTGGGCTCAAGGTCTTGCGCATACCAAAGAGGCACCTCTTCCGAGATCATCAGGAGCTCCTCTGGACTCCTGGCTCTTGAGATCTTAGTTGCTGAGTTCAAAATCCCTAGAAAGAGTACAATTTCAGTTTTACAGTGGGCAACATTGTCCCAAAAAGTGTGAAGTGTATCCACTCAGCTAAAAAGAGATGTAGCACAGGGGCTAGGTATGTTCGGGTGTGCTTTTAAAGTTGGGGTTTTAGGGAATAGGGCTTTGAGACTCGCGGGCCTGGGGTTAAGGGGACTTTGCAGGCATTCTCCCCGGTGGGCCTTGCAAGGATGGGGATCCCCAACCTTCGTCTACTCCGCAACGAAAGGTTTGGGAGACTCTGGGTGTTGGGGGTCTAGGGGTTTAGGGAGCCGTTGCAGTGGTAGTAGTAGTCGTCGTCGTCGTCGTAGTAGTAGTCATCTCCTCCCCAAGCACCCCAGAGTCTATGAACTCTGGGCGTCTATGCATGGTTCGGCTCCAAGGTGCCCTGCCGCTATCGCAACAGCAACAGTTAGACTTGTAGAGCAGCTTTGCTTAAAGTGCTGGCCATGGTAAGAAAGCCAGAAAAGCGATACAAACATTTCAACTATTCATGTGTTCAACCACAAGAAGAGTCTGCTGCACACCAAGGATTCGGTGCAGAAGGTTCACAGTGCACGCAGAGACTCGCCTCGAAGGATTCCGAATCCCGACTCTACCAGCTCCAAAAGACCCCGAAGTCCTTTGGTCCCAAAGCCCCGAGCCCAAACCCAAAAGCCCAGCGGAAAGTCTCCTGATGTCTTCGCCTTTGAGCTTCGTGTGGAGTCGATCCGAGAGGCCGTGCTCCGCCTCAGCTCCCAAGAGGAAACCGCACGATCTCGGGGGTTTAAGGTTTAGGGTTTAGGGTTTAGGGTGTTACAAGAAGAGGGTTCAGGACGCCCGAAGAAAGACTACACTGATGCACAAGCTCTGAGCCTGAACCCTCAACCCTACGAACCATGGAAGCGGAAAATCAGGCGCAGCAAGGAGATGCCGTGTTGCTATCTGTCACGAGCCACGGTTTAGGGTTCAGGGTTCAGGGCTTTCGGGCCTGGGATCTGCAGGTCCAAAACGTTTCCCTCTTTTAGGGTCCTCTTACGTTCCTTAGTGTAAGCATGTCGCCATGTCACCCTTCTTGGATGGGAATTCCATTGGACGCTACAGCTTTGGAAACAAAACCCCCAATCTCCCGGCGGCGTAGGCAAGTTCAAAACGAACTGAGGAGCCCGCACAGAAAGTTTTCAGTGACATCCCTTCCTCGACGGCAGCTGCAGCTTGCATGGGCGCAGAGGACATCTCTGCCCCAGCGTCTTGGAGAGCAGCTGCATTTTGCACAGGCAGCGGGGAAAGCTCGGTCCCAGCATCTTCGAGAGCAACTTGCACAGGCGCCTCCTAGCACACACGGAGTTAGGGGTAGAGCTGCTGTTTTTGTCAGTATATTGGACCACCAAAACAAAGACTTCACAGATATCCTACGCCTTGCATGAATCACAATGACATAATGAACGAAGGCAGACAGATCCGTGACCATACAATACTATACTATACCATGATTTACACTACTCTGCTCTACTATTACTATACTATACCATGAATAGACATCAAAAGACTTTAATGAACTTTTCATAAATTTAATAAACCATTGATTAAGGCAGCCGGATCCACTCCTGCGCTCGCGGGGATTCACTGGGAGCCCCGGTCTTGGGAATCTCCTTTGCGGCGGCTTCTTTGACAGAGGAGAGCTCTTCGGTTCGCTCGGCGATGGGCTCCAGAAGGGCTTGCCTGAGCGGTTTAGGGTTTAGGGGTTTAGGGTTTTTCTTCCTAGGGAGCCTAAGCTCAGTTGCCGGAATAAGAGCAAGTAGACACCATGCAAGACTATGTGCTATACTACCATACCTCTCACGAGTACTGGCAACTTAAAGCTCCTGAGGAAGAACCCAGTTGCAGCTCTTCAAGGGCCTTGCGTGCAGCGCTCTGCTCCGCTTCGACTTTCTTCGGACATGATTCACCTGCTGGAAAGCACGGCTCATCCGGCAGGACCTTGAGGCAAACTCGGCGCTGGAAGCCCGAACCACATGGCACATCTCGGTACACAATGTCATCCGTACCACCCCGAAGCAAGTCAACACACTCCTTCAGGATGCCCTTGCTGTTGCCGCCGTTCAAGCCCTTGCGGATGCGTTTCAACATCTCACTCTTCACAGCCTGAAGGAGCTCGAGTGCCTTTGGGTTGAAGCGGAGATGACGCCTCCTCGATGCAACTTCCTGTGCATCGAAGGTCTGCTGTTCACCAGGCATAACCTCCGGTATGTGGTTCTCCGAGAGCAATCCCTGCTCACGTAGCCGCATCAACGTCAGAAGTGCAAAGCGCTCCCTGGGCATCCAAGACGCCAGCTCCGGATTCTTCCGCACCTCCTCTTTCACGTCCTCTGCCGAGACAGTCAAGTCGGTGTCGCGAGTTGGCACTACACACTTCTTGATTGCCGCTGAACTTGGCTTGAAGGCATCGTCCAGGGACATATTTCCTGAGCAGGCACGGCTGATGTAGCTGTTGAGCAATGTCAAGCAATTGCCACGGTTGATCTCGGCCCCTGTGGCTGGATGTATGGAGCCTGCAGCACTTTGCCGAGGTCCTGCTGCCACCGGCTCCTGAGCATCCCGCTGTGCTATCCTGGGTTGCTGTTAAGGAACTTGCGTTAAGTTGGGATAACTAGGAGACCCTACCATTTACTATGCATTCCCGCTGTGGCCTTAACAGCAACCCAGTTTCTGGTGCACCTGCTGAGCCCGAAGTTGTTCTTCCTCAGGATCATTCTCGAAGTAGATGACCAGACCACCCTTGCCTGCCCCACGGCAACGACCCGTGCCTTGGACGTGGCTCTTGACATTGTCGAACTTGTCAAAGCGCACTACGACGTTGCATGAGGGAATGTCGATTCCCTCTTCGAGGCAACTCGTGGCTACTAAACACCACACTGGCTCCTTTTCGTCACGGAACTTTCGGAGATTCGTCTCCCGCACGGTGTCTGACATAGAGGATCGGCCACTGACGGGCAGGATCCCAGGTTTGACTCTGCTGTTCAACAGCTCCGCAAGCGGGTAAGAGGGGGCGACTTCTGCAACGAAAACGATGCATCGGGTTTGCTCGTCCAGTTCCAGCAGCTCTTGCAGACGCTGGACCAAGGCCTGCGCCTTTCCGGAGATGTCATCCAAACCTGCTTGCAAGCCCTGCAGCCTCTTGGGCAGATCCGATTGACAGGCTGTTTGCATGTCCTCCAGCTGTGCGATCTTGGCCTGGATTTTGGAACTAGACCTTTGGGACTTCTGGCCTTTGCTGAACACCTTCCCTCTGATCTCGAGCTTCTGTTGTATGCATGGGAGAAGGCCATGTGAGAAATAAAACTCGGCCCCCGCCCGACCCAGCAACTTCATTACGCCCTCCGCTTTGTTGGCATGCTGCACAACCATGTCCTGCAAATCCTGAGGCAAGCCGCTCAAGATGCTCTGCTGCAGTTCCCTGGCCTTTTGCAGGAAGATGCGTTCTGAGACCAAGTCCCCTCCGGACCGATTGGCCACCAAGCGCTCGAAATTGAAACTGGGTAGATGATCTCGGATGTCGGCGTCTTCGGGGACCCAGATGGTGCCTGCAAACCGATCCTCAAGCTGCTGCCGCTTAGCCTCCGGCGCATTGAGCCTCCCATGCAAGAAGCAAGCCGTGAGGCCAACAATTCTCGGCCCCGAAGCTTGCTCGGAGACCCTCTCCAAGATTCTTACGAAGGGATGGCCTCCGAGGGCATGGTGTGCCTCATCGAAAACAAGGAGCTTGCAGCCATCCAACCGAAGGAATGCATGGTCGATAATGGCCTTCCGTAGGATCTCTGCGGTACAGACGATGACCTGGTTCTGCCGCACAGCTCTCCAGTACTCCTCAGTCCACTCGACACCATTGCCCAGTTGCTCAGTGACACGGACCGCCTGGATGGTCGACTTGTCCCGGATGTAGTCTGCCTGCTGGCGGACCAAAGGAGCCACATTGACAACGACCACGGCAAAGCCCTGCGGCTCATCGGCGAGAAAATGGTCCACAAGCATTGTTGCCACCAAGGTCTTGCCAGTCCCGGTGGGCAAAACGAGGATCCTGGATTAAATCTTCACCGTGAGAAGGGCTGAACACAAATCGCAGGCCTTTAGTGCGACCAAAGAAATGTGCTACAAAACATTACAAAACAAAGGATTGGGGAGCCGGTTCCCGTGGACAGCCGCCTTGAAAGCCGCCTCCTGGTATGCCCTTGGATCAGGTTTGCCCCTCCATGGCTTCAGGTCCACCTTCTGCACTGGGCCAGTAAACTCCAAGAGCCTACCGGGATCCTCCAGCTTTTCGGTGAAGGTCACTTCCGAGGGCAGGGAGGAAACAGCCTCATGGCAGTTGGGACACTCCTCAATACCGCCGTCCCAACAAGCCTTGCACACCAAGACCTGGCAGTCTGACTTGCACTTTAAGAAGTAGTTCGGAACTTTGTCGTACTCCTGAGACCACTCTTCCTCCTCCAGGTCGCAGAGCCGGCATCGGCGAGAGCCATCTCCCTTCTTGAAAACAACCTGCGCAGACAACTGAACCTGCAGGTCCATCTGGATTCCTCCTTCTTCCATGGCCTGGGAAAGGGGGTTCCCTGAGAGTCTCGTGCCCTTGAACTAAGCTGACAGAGAGAAAGAGAGAGAGAGAGAGATGAGGTTAGACTAGATTAGATTAAAGTTTAGATCAAATACATTAGATTAGAGTAGGCTAGATTAGATTGGATTCATAGATAGAAACAGACAGTGTTTTGTCATGATTTAACCTGTACTCCTGCATTAAGCGGTGTTGGACTTTCGCGGCTCCGTGGGAGGAGACCATATACTTAAGGGTTCAAACGCTTGATGGTTTCGGGCTGAGGTGGTTCTAGGTTTTTGCTGTTAAGGGCTGAGGGGGGAGGAAGTCATGGTTTAGGGTCTAAGGCTTTGAGGCTTGGTGTTTCAAGAGCTTTGGGTGCAGAGCTCAAGAAGACTCGGGGAAGCCTCTAAGCTGTAAGCAGAACAAGTTTAGGGCGGTTAGGGTGTTCGTTAGGTGGCCAGGGCACCTTTGGGACTCAGTTAGGGTCGTTGCCTTTGCTGGGTTATTTGGAGATGGGACTTAGTAAGTAAGGTTATAAGTGGGGTTATAAGTATAGTTACCCTAATTATAACCCCAGTTACTAAGTCCCATGACCCTGTAAGTACTGAAGGCAGAGCTTACTCCAGGCCCGAGGTCATACAGTCACAAAGGGGAATCCGGACGACAAAGCATTGCCAAGTCGACAAGCGCTTCAGAATGCTGCACGGCTAGAAGACTTGCCATAACGGAGCTACATAGCATCAGGAGCATTGTCATCGAGCATCAACTACCATATGTGTACCTAAATACCTCTGCATATACAGTACTTCTACGTGTGCATCTATATACACATCTACATCTGGGATCATCTGGGTGGTTGTCAAAATTAGGGCCCCTTCTTGGGTACCCTAAGAATTAGGTGCCGTAATATATTAAGGACCCAAATTTGGGACCATAATTTTGACAACCACCCATCTAAATACCCATACACGTCTTTCAGTTCGGGATTCGGGCGCCTTTGAGCAAGTGAATCGGATCCCAACGCCTCGGCATGCTGCCCGAAGATCTGCAGCAAGGGGCGGCTTGGGTCCTTCCGAACTTGGGGTTTTGTTGAGGTTCTAGCGCTATCTAGGGGTTAGGGTTTCGGGTTCAGAGTTTAGGATTTCGGGTTTAGGGCACGTGTTTGCGATTCTATATATCAAACACCTGCATGAAGGCTGAGATATGCACGAACATGCCAGAAATTGTCCCAACTGTGCTCGCTCTGGACACAGCATCTGACAGCTGCTCACGCGCTTTGGGCATCTAAGCTCCAACCGTCTGCAGGGCGAATAAAGAAGTTGAAACCCCGACGTCCCGTGAATCTCAGTGAATCATGCCCGCAGCTTCTGTCTACCTTTTTCCAGGTCACAAGTAGTCATCAGCATGTTCCGCAAGGACACCGGCAATCGCATGCAAACTCTGATCAAAGAAACCCTTAACCCCAAACCCTAGAGCATCCTTGTAAAGGAACCCTGTATTAAGGCCCCATAGTAACTCAGATCCCGGGCACCTTCAGGGAGACATCCTTGAAGAGCAGCTGCGCCTCGAAAAGGGGTTCGGAGCTGCAGTCTGGCTGGGCTTAGGGATTAGGGTTGAGGGTTTATACTACGGTTTAGGGTTTCGGGTTTACAGGGTTTAAGGTTTAGGGGTTTAGTGTGTACAAAGTTACAGGGTTTAGGGCTTATGGGTTTTAGGTTCAGGGTTTAGGGGGGCATCTTTCTCTCGAATGTTTGGTGCTGCGGCTTGCACAAGGAAACCCCGCGCCTCATGGCCTGGCTTGGCCAGCTTTCCCTTGCCCTTTAGCAGCATCTTTGCATCGGCCACCTGGGACCAGGCTGGTTCAACTTGCAAGCGCACAAGAAGCAACAGCAGCACTCAAATTCAAACAAAGAATAGACAGCTGCGGCACTTTCCGAATCATGGAAAACGCAGCCCAACGACAGCGAGAAAAACCCTCCCTCAAGAAGTACGCCTTCGAATCCTGGGCGAAACGGCAGCGACCCATCTCGGCGCCATCCACCCCCCAGTACACTGCCGTAATAGGCGGCATTGTTGGAGCACGAAACTCTACGGGTTGTCACGAACTTCTTGCAAAAAAAGAAGTAAACAAAAACAATCTGTAACTTCCTTTGCGTCTAGAACAACTGCTGCCCAAATATGGGCAGATTTCAACCTTGATTCTAAACGTCTTCGAAAGGATTCTGGGATATGTTCTGATGTGTTCGAATATGGCATATCTTGACACAATTTGGTGGAACTGTTTAAAGGCTTCATGAAAAAAGAAACCTTGCGCCAATGTTTTGTTTTATGCAAATTATGAAGAGATGCACTGCGTCGAACACAAAAGCTTGCACTTAACACAGAAAGAGCTTGCACTTCCAAATACTTGCAAAGCATCGGGATCGGATTTGGACCATGTTGAAGCATTCATTCAGCATGAACGTGTCGTTGCCGATGCGGTTGAATCAAACGTATCACTGTGTCTGGTCATGAAAATGAACATATTATTGCACATTCCTTCTGCGAAATACTGTAAGCAAAACTGCGCGTTCTACAAGGGGTTGTCAGACTTGTTCGTGTGGGTCGAAAATTGAAAGACGGCCAAGTTCATTCAGTTGCTGCCGCCCTTGGCTGGAAGATGGACGAAGCACTCTGCATTCGGACAACCGACATTCGTCACTCCCACAGAAGGCATGGAATTCAGAAGCTTGACACATGTCCGATAAAGATCTTGCAAGGAGATCTTGTGAATGCTACCTGCGAAACAAACGGTTTTAAGAGGACGTCAATACTAATTCTTCAAACCCCAAGATGCAGCAGTCGTGCAACACAGATCCAAGTTGCATGTGAGACAGCTTGGATTGTCAGTTTCGTTTGAGAAGGTTTGCGTAGACACTCCTTCAGTGGTCGCATTTCGTGGCATGCTTTCCTGGATTTTGGTCTTGGGCTCCACTCGCAGTCTTGGATGACTCTAGGTGACGGTTCTTTGCTGAGACGCTGAGCGAGGACCCTCTTTTTATTTGCTGAAAAGCTCATGCTGACGAAATCCGCACGCTGCAGCACGCAACCTCGTTCTTTGATTACCCGTTTCACCACAGTTTTCTTGTGATTTGTTCGTTTGTCCGCAGTTTACAAGGACCGAGCACTGCAGCCGCCGACGCCAAAAAAAAATCCTGATTTTTCCTTTTTTTACACCGAAACCGCGTCACCGTTGCCACAAGCCGCCTCGCGAGGCGCCATGCTGAGCGGCGTGGCACGCGGACGGACACCTGTATGGCACCCTTGAGCTGGACAAATTAGAAGCTAGCACAACTCAAGGACGCTGTGTCTGACACGGGACAATGCAAGGCAGCGGAATGTCCTCTGTGCCCCTCAATCGCCGAGCAGTTCCCCTAGTCACCCAGTCATCGCTGGCACGGTTGTTTTTTCGTCGGCGGGCCTCCTTGGCTGCAGCTGCAGCAACTGCAGCACTCGGTCCCAGTAACATCGAGTAAACAAACAAACACACAAACACAGTGGTGAAACGGAATGACTAGGGAACGAGGTTACGTACATGCTGCAGTATGCGGACTTGGTCAGCATGAGCCTGTTCAGCAGGACAAAGGGGCTCCGCTCAGCGACTCAAGGTCAGGTAACAGCGGACCGGCGTCCGAAGTCACCCAAAACAGCGAGTGGAGCCCAAAACAAGGCTCCGTTCTAGTCCCGTCGGACACCGGACAACCCGCGTCTTGTTTTTTGAACCGAGTCGAGCACACCAAAGTCCAAAAGTCAAGAACAGAGACAGTGGTGGCAAAGCATTAGGAAGGCAAAGAATTAGACGTCAATATGACCTCCCCCACCTCCATGAAGGACCGTCAGATTGGCAGGCCGCATAAGAAGCTTCCACTTTTCAGGATGCTTGTGCAAAAACACAACGAAATGCCTCTTAAATCGAGAAACCAGATGCCACTTTTGGAAGCATTCTGCTAAAACTTAAGTAAACTAAGCATTTCAATATAGATCGCCAAGAACCAAAAGAAGAAAACAACACAAAAAGTCACACAAAAATGCTTCATTGTTGCTGTGGTTTTCTGCTACTTTGAAGAGTTGTGCTGTGCTGCTTTCCCTGTTTTTGGCAAACCAATTTGGAATGTGCATTTTTTATTGGGTTTGCAAACTTTGTCAGCACGAACTGTTCAGCATCAACCGCATCTCAGCGATCGGTCAGAAGCGAAGCTGCTGATCCGTCGCCCTGCCGCTCGAAATAACACGTGGACTTTGAAGACAAGACGAATTCCGGCAGCCGCACGAGACCACACGCAGTGTGCGTGCAGAGAGCTAGCAGCGCGATAGCAGATTACTGGAAAACTGAGCCAAAACAAAACGCTTCAAGCCTTTACTAAGCTACTGTCGAAGTGGAAAGAACGGACAGGAACGCACAAGATCCAGGTGCTGCAGCTCCAGCTTTGTTTGATTTCCAAAGACACCAAACCATCTCGAAAGCGCCACTCCATCGTCTGCTCCCAGAACAGTGGCAAGAAAGTTGACGCGAGGGACCAAAACGTGAACACGAACTTGCGCATTGCGCTTGAGGTTTCGACAGCTGAGCAGAAGTCCGCCAGAAAGCTGTCCGATTCGTTTAGCACCTGACAGGCACGATGTGGTGCCGCAGCGTGAACTTTCAGCTCCTGCTGGTAGTCTTGGAAAAGGGTGATACTGCTGAAAGCAGTGGTAACCGTCGCGCTGTGCGTTTCTAAACCGGGCGTGTAGCGAAACCGTGTGACACTTTCGAAAGCTATTTCTGCAAACGCCGCAGTAATTACGGCCTCCGTTGCACCTTGTTTGGCGAGTCATTGTTTGGTTTCAGGACTAAGTGTTGCCGTTGCAGTCACATGCATTGAACAGACACAGCTGCATTGCTTTGTAAAACTTTTCACCCCCCACCTGATCGCTTGCACCCATTTTCGAACTGTTGGCGCTGCGCTTGGCAAGAATGCAGCAAGTTTCAGCTTGATTTTTGAAACGAATACGTGCTCAAGACAAGCAGCCAGTTACACTTTGGAGTTATCCGGCTGCATCTTGCTGAAGAAATGGTCGCTCCGCGTCCAGATTGTGCGATTTCAATAACGAGCTCGCAAGTGGTTCGCCGGCACCAAAATGCAGGCCCAAAAATGCGACCGTTTTCTGATCCCTTGGGAAGTGTGCCAATACTATACTCAGAAGCATTAAAAACGGGTCCAAATTCCAGGCCCATTTTTGAGCCCGCTCCTCACTCTTTTTTTTAATTCTCAACTCCAAAAAAATGATCACCGTTTCTCTTTTTGCTTACGCAGCCACTCCATCCAACAGCACAGCTTATTGGGCTGCAGCAGATTCATGGAAAGCGACAGCAACAATATTCTGTGGCTTAAGCTATTAAATCGAACGAATGTAGAAAAAGATGCTCCCGAAACTGTTGGCGCTGCGCTTCGTAAGAATGCAGCAAGTTTCAACTTGATTGTTTGACAAACGAATACGTGTTCAAGACAAGCATTAAGTGGCTACACTTTGGAGTTCTCCGGCTGCATCTTGCTGAAGAAATGGTCGCTCCGCGTCTAGATTGTGCGATTTCAAAAATGAGCTCGCAAGTGGTTCGCCGGCACCAAAATGCAGGCCCAAAAATGCGGCCGTTTTCTGAGCCCTCGGGAAGTGTGCCAATACTCAGAGGCACTAAAAACGGGTCCGAATTCCGGGCCCATGTTTGAGCCCGCTCCTCACTCTTTTTTTGAATTCTCAACTCCAAAAAAAGTGATCACCGTTTCTCTTTGCTTACGCAGCCACTCCATCCAACAGCACAGCTTATTGAGCTGCTGCAGATTCAAGGACAACGACAGCAACAATATTCTGTGGCTTAAGCTATTAAATCGAACGAATGTAGAAAAAGATACTCCCGAAACTGTTGGCGCTGCGCTTCGTAAGAATGCAGCAAGTTTCAACTTGATTGTTTGACAAACGAATACGTGTTCAAGACAAGCATTAGCTGGCTACACTTTGGAGTTCTCCGGCTGCATCTTGCTGAAGAAATGGTCGCTCCGCGTCTAGATTGTGCGATTTCAAAAATGAGCTCGCAAGTGGTTCGCCGGCACCAAAATGCAGGCCCAAAAATGCGGCCGTAAAAACGGGTCCGAATTCCGGGCCCATGTTTGAGCCCGCTCCTCACTCTTTTTTTGAATTCTCAACTCCAAAAAGAGTGATCACCGTTTCTATTTTTGCTTACGCAGCCACTCCATCCAACAGCACAGCTTATTGAGCTGCTGCAGATTCAAGGACAACGACAGCAACAATATTCTGTGGCTTAAGCTATTAAATCGAACGAATGTAGAAAAAGATACTCCCGCAACTGGGGAGGCCCCTGTGGCGCACACGTTTTCGAAGGGTTTTTCGGCCTCGAACATGAGCCCGTCAAATCTGTCAAAATGAAGGTCGAAACGAGGTCCGGGATACTCTTCAAGCTCCCACATGAGTTTGCCTTGTGCAGCTTACAATTTCGGTTTGCTCTCCGGGTCTCTGTCATGTTTCATTGTGTGGCACCCCATCCGCAAAAAACGTTAAACCCAACACACAACATCAAACGTGCGGTTTCGACTAAAAGCACGCGGGTTGCTAGTATCCTAAACCCTCCTGCAGGGCCGCTGAGACGTTTTGACTTGCGTCATACTATAGCAGCTCTTTCTAGTCTGATTTACCAAAACGTCGCATGGAGTAACGAACTCGTAGCTACAGTTTCAGCTACTCCGTGCCCCCACTACTCCGCGCGACTCTGCAGGGCCGCTGAGACGTTTTGACTTGTTTCAAACTATACCAGCTCTTTCTATTCTGGTTTAGTAAAACGTCGCATGGACATAAACAACAACTGAGATTGTCAGACTTCCTCCTAAGTCAACCCATCTTGAGAACAGGTTCCTGAACTTCTGGAGTAAATCCCCGTGGCTCCATCAGCAATGTTGTGTTGCGATACGCAGCAAGCGTTGTGCGTTTGCTGAAGGTTGCTGACATCTCTGGAAAGGCTGTTTGCGCAGGCTCGAAGAAACTGGTTCGACACTTTTAAAATGCCTTAGATTGGAATGTACTTGCAACATTGATGCGGAGGTGCGGAGGACTGCCGTTGCTTTGTTGAAAAACAACAACTCGCTCCAGTCTTTTGCCTCAGAAGGGCTTCGGTCGAACTGCTTCTCAGCACTGCCATGCGTGTTGCATGTGATCGTCTGATGCATTCCATACTGCACTCAAAAGGGGTCTGCTAGATTCAACACGCCCCCTCAGTTGGCTGTCCCTTTAGGATAGCCGACTGCACACAAAAGTCACAGACCCTGGCCAGGAAACCGTTGGTGCACAACTGGGCAAAAGTGGTCTGCGTAGCACTGATTACAAGCGGCTTTGCCCAGCCTAATCGCATCCCTGGCCGTTCGGGAACTCACACGGGCGGAGTGGCGGATATTGCCACACGTTCTCCTGTGATAGGCGTATGCGGAGCTGGTGGTCCAAACCATTTCTCCCAGCTCTTGCTCCGTCAGGAGCTCCAAAGCACTCTCTAGCAAACCCCTACGCTGCTCAGCAAGGGTCACTCGCTGCTGCGCTCTGGTAGCCGTGGGTCCGGTAGTAGAGGTCGAGGATTCGAGGATCTGGCCGCCGCGCCCGTCACGGTGTCCCGGTAAGACCCCGTAGCCAGGATCCAGCTGCTCAGCTGGGGCTCCTGAGTCCCTCTCCTCCGTCTCCGTGCCCTTGTCCTTCCCGTGGGCCTGTTCGGGCCTTTGTCGCCACCTCCAAGCTGTGAAACTCCACCGGCTGGTGACCAACATGTAAATCACCACCAGCAGCACCATCACCAAGGGGTTCGCATAGAAGATCTCCACCACGTATCGTGTGTCCGGTCGTTGTCGTCGGCCACGCACCCTTGCAACGCCACCGCCGCCTGCACCAGGCGCACCATAAGCTCGCCACCTCTGCGTCCCAGCACCTCTTGGCCCGTAGCGTCTGTATGCTCGGTCTGCCCGATCTCTCGCCATGGTCGTCCACCACACCAGCCAAGAAGCAGAGCATCCGCAACCTCCTGTGCTGGAGGCTCTTCGTTCCCATGTCGCTGGGGTTGAACTGGGTCGGCACCACCGCGACTCTGAGGAGCTTGCTCGCCACCCACTGGTGGATCCACAAGCAGCTCGTCTGGAGGTGGCGCACACGTCCAACTCCCAACCGGCTGGCGATTGCCCTGGCCACCGACGAGTCACTCCTCATCACCAGCTCAGCGGCCTCCTTGGTGACCCACTTCCAGGCCTTGTGCACGAGGATCGCCTCACTTGTTGCCTGTGTCAGCGCCACCAGCTCGGCTTCTCCCGAGCTCAAAGTCACCACCTTCTGGCCCCGAACAAAGCTATACATGAGGGCCTGGTCGATGTAGATCTGGCCGCTGCTCAGGCTCTTTCGGGTCTCGCGGTCATTCGCGAAGTTGCTGTCTGAGAGCTTGCCCCGAAGAGAGGTTTTGGATCACGGCCTGGGCGTCGGGCCGCTCGTTGCTCATATAGAGCACCTTCCCCAGCATGGTCCTGAACTTGGTGGCCTCGGTCGCGGGCAACTCCTCGGTGGTGTCCACGGCGAACATGTCGTCCTGGCCGCTCGGTCCGGGCGTCAAGCGCTCCTTTGGGTGGCCCGCGAGGTCGTAGAGGTCGTGGTAAAGGCGCAGAGGGGCACGCTTTTTTTGGCTTGACTGGGCCTCGTCGACTACGGCTGTAGCACTCGGTCCCTACAAACAAGCAAAGCAACAAACAAACAAAACTACAACAAAGCGGTGAAACAGAAAGCGAAGCTCTACGAATGGGCTGCGGCGCACGGGCTTTACCTGTGTTGGCCGTTCAGCGCTAACTACGGAGCCTCAGCGACCGGTCCGGAGCAACAAAGAGCCGTCGCTCTGAGCTGCCCAAAACAACAGGTGGAGCCAAAACCAGGCTCCGGCAGCCGTTCTAGTCTCGCCAGACAACGGACAGCCCCTGTGTTTTGTTCCGTCGCGATCGTGCACACCAAAATCCAAAAGTCCAAAGCCCACTGCATGCGTGGGCGGCTTCCAGACAGGAGCGCGATGGCCAGAGTCGCAGAAGAGCAACTCATTGCCAGCCGGCGAATCTTCACACATCCAAGGACAGAACCAAACGTTCCTCGGCGTGCAAAGCGCAAGGGCGTCGCGGACCCCGGCGTCCAGCGACAACAAGTCGCCCGTCACAGCACGCAGGTGGCCGGGCGAGTGATGCAGACCGTGGGGAGCAAAATGTTGTGCGTCGAACCCAGAGCAGCGCAAGCCAGGGCTAAGCCACGAGGCAAACAGAGACCAAGGTCACCCTTGTCGAGAGTGCACACCGGAGCTGGAGAGACTCAAGTGGTGGGTAATGCACAGAGTAGGAGTGGCGTGGAGGGTGAAGATAACCCAAGCGACGTATGTCGTCGGTTGCAGTGGCTTCCACGGGGAAAAGCGACTTCAGCCAGATATGAGCCGACTTGCCTCAAAAGGTCCGTTAAACCCGGCCACCCAATCCAATTGCAAAGTGCATAACCCAGCCTGTACTTGCGGTGTCGATGGAGCGAGTAATGGTGCGACGCAACCTCAGAGCAGCACAAGCCAGGGCCTCCGCCCTCCCCGGAGGCAAACCTGTGACCACGATCATCCATTTGGAGCGGGCACATCGGACCCAGACGAGACTCAAGAGGTGGTGAAAACCACCAGAGCAGGGGTGGCATGGAGGGTGGAAAGAACCTCAACGACGTATGTCGTCGGTTACAAGACTTCCACGAGGGAGTGACCCCAGCCAAGAAGAAGCGACTTGCCTCGAGAGGTCCGTCACAACCAGGCCACCCAAGTCCAATTGCCTGGTGCACAGGCAACCGAGCCTGCACTATCGGGGTCCGATTCGGCATGGCGGCAAGGGCCCGCCCGCCCACTCAGTCGAGCCCGGCCTCGACGAAGGCCATGTAGCCCGTGCGGAGAGCTCAAGGGAAGTAACGACACAACGACGTATGTCGTCAGTCCCACGGTCGGCAAGTGAAAGTGGAGGTCACCGAGACGAGCCAGCCGCCGCACCGCGCGGCCAGCTGTCGAGCAGGCGTTGCATGTCGCGCCCACTCGAAGGAAAGTGACTCTCCTTCAAGAGATAGAGCAACTGGTAGTTTTTCTCATTGTAGGTTTCCTTCACCCTAGTATATGTATACTGATGATTGTCATGGTCGTCGCCATGAAGATGTGGCATCATGTCGGTGGAGATACAAGGAAATTGGAGGCCAGGTCCGAGGCCCCCGTTCCGGAGGAACTCCTCCGCCACAGCCTTCCAGCGTTCCTGCGCCCCGGGATGCCCCAGCCTGAACCAGGGGCGCTCACCACCCGGCAGCTCCTGCGCCTGGTTCTCCTCTCGGGCGACCAACCGATGAAGGAGGACCATCGCTTTGGCTTCAACTGCGTCGAAATGCGCAAAGCGCCACAAGCGGGTGGGAAAGTAAAACTGCTTCTTTTGCGGCCCGCGTATCCAATAGGCCACGACCGCTCGGAGATCCCAGCCCTCGGAAGTGGCCGCAGCTCGAAGACGCCACAGGGCGCTATTCAGCAGGCCCGCAGCCTGGATCGAGAGAGAGGGCTGTGCCTGTAAACCCAGTGAGATGTCCGCAAGCGGGAAGAGCAGGCGAAAAGTGCCCCTATATGTGCCCGGATACGTGAACATTCGCGGATCAAACTCACCGCGTCTGGCCGGAAGGATTCCACTCTCGAAGCCCGCCATCAGTCGGTCAGCAATGGTAATCTGAGGTCGGCCCACCAGGGCAGCCGGAACCTTGCACGTGACTCGCACCTCAATGTGCTGACCGTCACGAGTTGGAGTAACGTTGGTGAGCTGTAGAAGTGGAGCGGCCGTAGGGTCGTCAGCTAATGCCCGTGTAAGATAGAGCAGCAGCTGTGCTGGCAGCAACACACCACAGTGCAGCAGTGGGGTTCCCTGTGTCGCGTCAACACTCGTGCCGCCTCCCCCAGTAGTGCGCCGCTGGCTGGAACCGGCGCCGCGTCGGCTGCCTGTTTGCACAGGTTCTCGCGCGGCGGTGGGGTCTCGCTTGGGGGTGAAGGACATTTGCACCAAGCTGCCGTCCCGGACTGGAGACTTCCGTCCTGCCAGGGCACGGGGGAGCGACCCCTTGAGTCCTGCAAGCTCATCGAGAAGCAGCCACCACCAAATCTCGGGCCGAGCAAGCTCGTACCAGGAAAGGTCAAAAACCCGTCCTTCAGGCAGGCGCAGAACTGGGTCGCAAAACTGAGCCAATGCGACCGACACTGCCAGCATGGGTGTCAGGCAGACGCGGAATGCTTCATCATCCGTACAGCGCCGTAGCATGAGCGCCCGGTCAGCGAAGTCGACAACCTTCACCCCAAAATTCTGAGGGCTGAGTTTGACTTCACAGGCGGGCAAGGACAAGGGGAGGGAAAGCAAGGTCAGGCAGTCGGTGGGGTTGGGCAACAGTTGTTGTAGTGCACCCGCACAGTCCATTCCTTCGACAGGCCGCTGTTGCCGGCCCCGAGCTTGGTAGCGCCGAAGGGTATCATGCTGCTCTTCGAATTCGTCTTCGTCTTCTGCCGGTACACACCGGCTGGCAATGGATGTAACTCCCGGCACAAGGCGGCAAGGTGGAGTTTCCACTGCGTCCAACAGGGCCGCCACACGTTGGCTCCATGTAGAACTAGGAGCGGCGGGGAGGGAGACAGCGCAACTTTGACTGCGCAGCTCCGCTGTCAGTGCGGGATCCTCTTTGGCAGGCACTCCTGTGTCCGGGTCCGGGCGAACCTTTCCCGTCGGATCATAGAGGGCGCGTGGCAGGCCTGTAGTAGCAATCGGCGGCAACATAACCGTTTCAGGGCTAGAGTGACGTACCTGTGACGACACAAAGCGCTGCAACCTCCCAAGCAACGTTTTGTTGATCGTATCCGAGGCAATAGCATAAAGGTAGAATGCCCCCGGCACAGCAGGCGACCGGGGTGTGGACACACCCGATCTCCCACCCTTGTGATGCCGGAATAAGGGATGAAGTATTTCAGCCCTTGTCGGGTTACCCGGCAGCCGCGGAGGTCGCGGAGATCCTCGTCTAGGCCGACTTCGACTTCGTCCCCCACTCCAAAGAGGCATTCCGACAACTCCCGGCATACAGTGAGACTGGTGCCCGGAGGTGGCTCGGCGCCCTGATGGCCATTGTGGCGATGTCCGAGGCTGGACCACCTGACTGTGTGAAGAGGCCCCTGCGGGGTAGACTGCACCAAGCCACGCAGTGCAGCGGCGAGCCGCCCCGGAGAAACAGGCTGAGGAGCCAGCTGAGCAACTCCACGGATGCCAACAGGTTTGGCGATGAGGCGGGCCAACGTTTGCAATTGAACCTCACCTTTGCCGCCTCCTTCCGCATTGGCGAGGATGGCAGCCGAGGAAGGCTGTCCCTCCTGTTGCCCCTCATCTATCACGATAACATGCGCATTGTTGAGGAAGGTCTTAACCTCACTGTAGGAGGCATATCGCAGTTGCAACGCCGCCGACCCCTGTGTGAGCAGGAGCATGTGAGCGCTACTGACCGAAGGGGAGGCAAGACGCGCGCCGCGCCCCGTGACCCCGGGCTGAACCGTGGCGATGTCCCCCAGCCCTGCCGCTTAGTGCTCGGCTGCCTCGGTGAAAGGCACATGGTCAAAGCAAGGGTCGATCATTTCAGCATCGCCGGAGACCCTCCGCACAACAACGAGCGGACGCAGCCATTCTGGGGCATCGGCCAAGAGGTTGGAGGCGATACGCACGACTGCGATGAGCGCAGAATGCTGCTGAGCAGTCCAAAACACCGTTTGCTCCAACACAGAATCCATGCAGACCAGAGCACACCACAGGGAAAAGGTTTTGGAAGAGCCCGCGCACCCCAAGATGCTAAGCGAGCTGCGCCTTTGTGCCCGGGCAGCCAGGATGGCCGATATGTGTCCACTCAGGAGTCCATCTGGACTGTTGAGCAACTCATCGATATGTCGACAAAAGGTCTGTCCCATGAGGGCAGCCAAGGTGTGCAACTCAGGTGGGATCAATGTCGCCGGCAAACGCCAGTTTTTGCTGAAGGGATCCCGGGGATTGTTGCGCTCAGCCACTGGATGTAGGGCAAGGATGCGCTTCTTGAGTGCGACAAACTCGGCCGGCGTCAAGTTTGGGGCTGCTGGGAAGTGAGCAGCGCGGGCGGCCGCCTCCACGGCTTGCAAGAAAGTCAGCACAAGGTGCCCCTCAGCGGCGAAATGGCACCGGGGCCTCGGCGCAGGCTGGGTACATGGCCGGATGGGCATGCCAATGGCCAGAGGGACACGCGCCGCAGGCATCTTCAGTACTTGCAAAACGACATCGAGCGCCCCCCCTACTTTAATGCACGACAGACTGCGAAGGGAGAGGTCCCAGAGGGCCACTGGCGGATGAGCAGGAGGGCAGCAGTGGGGTTGAGGCGGTTTTGGCGTCTCTCTGCCTTGCGTTGCTCACGGGTTTTTCCACGGAGCCTGTCAGGGACTACCAGTTCAACAAAGACTGCCAGGAGTTGCCCTTGTCGAAACTCTAACCGCAGAAGACAACCCTC